AAAAAATGATTCGTTGTTCGCGTTACACCATTTGTGATTGTTCACGGAAACAGCGATTTTTGCGATGCCGCGCATTATTGATTTTATGGAAACGTACACGCGGAAAAAGTAATCGCATCGAAGCAGAAATTCTGAGTACTCAAGCCAATTTACTAGTTCAACATTCTTGATTCTCGTGTGAAGCGCGTCTCATATATGGGCTCTGTTTTTGTTTTATTACCATTGATGCGTGCTCTGATTTAGCTCGGTTATGAGCATAGAGAAACTTATGTAACAAAAATGATAGTAATCAATTTTGTTGATCATCAGCGAGTCGAGAGAATAGGGTTCTCTTTCTCTATATCTCTCCGGGTTTGTTTTTTTTTCGCCATGATTCCGACGATGAAATTCAATAATTTTCTAATGAGCAGACTGAGTTTCGCTACATGACTTTTATGGCCACAAGGTTCAATAATAGATATTTATGACGAACCAAAAGGTAGGTAAACTTCTTTTGTATCACCGCTGATAACATGTTATACAATGTTATGCGATTGAGATATTGGTTGATATGGTTTTTTTTGCTATGGTTAGCGCTGTGACGTTTAGATTAACCTCTTCATTTCTTTCTGCTTCACTTTTAATGATTCAATCTATTCTCGGCGCCATGGCTGAAATAGTTTCAACTTTGAAACTATTTGGTTTTAAACTATAATTACTTCAATGGTCTTAATTATAAATTAATATATTTTGACGAGTTTCGGAGAATTATTTGTAGAAATTTGGTTCATTAGTCATGGGCAAATCCCAAACAGAGGAAAACCAATCAAGATAAAAATGTATGATTATTTCAGAAATAAAGATAAAAAGTGAAAAATGACGAAAAAAACAAAGAAAATGTTATTTTTTAAATGAATGAAACTATTTTTAGTATTTCGTAATGAAAGTCATGAGTTTCAAAGAAATGATGCATCTTTCAATTGAAAAAAATTTGAGGGTTTCAAAAGTTTCTCAGCTTAAAGTTACATCTTGTCAGTCGCAAAGCACAAAATCCAAAACCTCAGCGCGTCTTTTCTGCCGTTTGTTCAAAACATTTACAAGGTATCGTCTTGCGATTGCACAAATCGATGACCTTTTTCTCGAGTTCCGATGTACTCTTTCGATATTACAGTGCAAATGAGCCAAAATGATCACTTTTCTCAAATAGCCAATGTTTTGTTTTATAATTATCCAACTAGAAACAAAGCATTAAAATTGTGAAATTGTTTAATTGTTTACGAAAAAAATGGTCTGACCATGAAAAAAGCAAACGTTTGTGAAATGCTTACGCTCAATCAATTAATGAACTTGAGTAAGTGTTGAAAATGATTAAAATAACATTTCAAGTGAACAAAGTACAATATTTCGACTTATGATTGGTGTTCTCATTAAAGTGTGTGTAGCTAATGAAAATTAAAGCCATATCCAGTGGTGAAGAAGCCGAGCATGGAATCTACTTATGCCTTGTAATAACATAATTATTTCGGGATTCTTTGTGGGCCGGAACAAAAATAAATGAATCGGCAATGAGATTAAACATTTGAATAAAAGATTTCTGATGACTCATTCAACAGTAAACGGTAAAGTGGATTGGAATGGGCGAAGTATATATAACCGAGAAAAAAATGGAAAAGGTCTTAATGATTTTCATTTATGCAAAAAGCTCATCATTCCGCATATTGAATCAGAAAAGAAAGAAAAGAAGAAAAGAAGCGCTGTATTGGTCAGCGGGAGTTGATATTTCTTTTCTCCTTTTATTGACATCTAATGATTATAATTTCGCCGGGGCATTCATTTCGACGATTGTTAAATAACGGTAAATGGCCTACCGACCACTTCGTCGGAATGATTTATTTAAATTCTTTTGTGTGGTATCTTTCCGTCAATAGAAAGAGAGCTCATTTAATTTATCGAGTCGATGAATGTCATTCGCTATCGATGTTGCTCTGAATCCCAATAACTATATTTATTTGGTGCATACGCTCATTTCCTTGGCAATTCTTTGTTATTGTTGCTTCACTGAAATTCGCTCGACATTCAAAACCAATAAAATATAAATACCAACTGCATGTTCCAACGCGATGTGTATGTGCATTAAAAGTTCACAGTTGACTATACTCCGATCGAAATTTGTTGCTTTTGTTTCATTTCTGTGTCGACTGAAAACACAAGCATATGCTCGATCGCTGTGTTAGACACACAATTTCGCCTACGAAAAACTGCTGAATGAGGCACAGTTTTTCTCATTTTTTCTGCGAGTTTCAATAATAAAATGCAAAATTTTGTAACAAACGTCGTAAACAACGCGTCTAATAAGCCAATGTATGCAATTTTGGCTATCATCTTGATAATAAGTAGTATGTGGCAATGCGCTGTGAAATTTATAACAAAATCCGCTAGGGTCAAAATAGGGCATAAATCAAGATTTTTTTTTCTTCTCTTTCTTTCGTTTCATTTCCCAATGTTTTCCAGCCAAGTTGATCGTATTTCGAATTATTACAACAGATTTGCCTCCAACATGTTCTTTATCCGATTTTGGAGCTAGCTATCTCTGTGTTTGGAAAAATTGCCGCGATTTTTCAATCGCACCAGGAAAACGATTGCTTGAATAACAACAGCAGAACTGGGAATTATATGGCATACACGTACCACAAACAGTGTATAATTATCGCGTTGAATATATCG